TATATATATATATTTGAATCTTGATTTCTCTGTGAGTCACGAGAGTGTAAGAAAATAAGAATGATAGAGAGACATAAAGAGAAAATGAACATTAAAATGTGTTCTCTATCATTCATTTCTTATAGAATAACATTGATATATAAGGGAAATGATACAATATGTGATATTATATTTCAGCCCATTTTTTAATGAATTGTTATCAAATATTTTAGGTATTTTACATATGCTAGTTTATTGCTCGACTTACTTATGACTAGGTCGATTGGGCTATCATGACTTCGACTCAACAATGCCGGTTTGGTTGGTTTCACAGTCAACTGAATTCAATTAGTTTTGGGTCGGCAGGAGTGGCTCGGTTGGCTAGACTTTACCGATCGATTTGTTTGGTCTGGTTGTCAACCCTCAATCCGTATATGAGGACTTCTAGTCAACAAAATTAGACTAGGCTATTGAGTAAAGGTGAATTATCATAACTCGATAGACAGCTCATTCCTTGACGATAGAAGTCCTTCAGGTTGATTGTGAGACTTTATTTATTTTTGAAGTCCTTCAGGTTGATTGTGAGACTTTATTTATTTTTGAGTCAATTTGGCTTATTGTTCGTGAACAGCTTGTGTTCGTCTCGTTAAGCAGCTCGTGTTCGACTCATTCATTAAGCCTAACGAAATGAATTCGAACAAATTTTTAAGCTCGAAATGTAAATGAGCCGAATACTAACAAAAGTTTGTTCGCTTGTGTTCGACTTGAATTGGCTCGAATATATATATATATATATATATATAGACACACACACATAAAACATAATCATAAAATTAAATATTAAATTATAATTAATTAATTTTTATACAAAAAATAGAAAAAATTTATTTTAATTTTATTTAAAAAATTAATTATTGTAATAATTTTATTTTCTAACGTGTTAATTTCGAGCCGAACACGAATATGAACAAGTTTTTCAAGCCGACCACAAACACACTGTTCACCAGTCATTTTGAACACGAGTTAATCGAACACGAGCCCAGCCTGAGATCGCTCAGGCTCGACTCGTTTACAACTCTAGTCCCTAGGAGGAACCTTGAGGGTGTTCGTGGGACGTCTAGTTATGACAAGGAACCATACTATTTGTTCTGTTAGGATCGGCTAAGAAGTCAATATCATCTTTCGTACTTTCCATTGTGGTTAGCTTGGTTTTTGATTTGACTCGTCGGCTCAAACCTGGATTGTTCTTTTTGTCATTCTCCGGCTCGGTTGGCCTTCATCCTAGACTCATATGACCGCAGTGGGGCCTCTTAGTCTTCTCTCAACGGATCTTTCTTTTTGGACAGGGATCTTTTTTCTCGAGATCTGTGCAAGTATATATATATATAGGGCATTTACAGAGATAACACATGATTCTTGTGTATTTACATATCTAACACCTAAACTACCATAGGATGTTAAAGGTTGAAATCTCATTATTTATATTAAATTATCATTTAAATATAATTTAATATATTTTTATTCTATTTTTTAATTAATAATTTTAAT